CCCCCCCCCTCAATGAGGGTACAGTTTTTCCAGCAAACGACGAAAAGAGGTGCCATAGATAACCGTTCAACGTGTTTTCGTTGAAGAAAAATCACTCGATATCGACGAATTTATTCGTTGTGTAAGGTGTAAAAAAAAAAAAAGAAAATTAAACGAATGTTCCTGGAAAAATCGTGTGCAAACATTTGTATCGTATTTGTTGGTAAAGAGTCGAAAGATTTGCCAACGAATGAGCATCGAGCAATTCAGACTTGAAAAAAAAAAAAAAAAAAAAAAATACCGAATATTTACATCTCAAGACGATTTATTATGTATGCACATACGCAAGTATATCCTCTCTGCATTTGTATTTCACAGTTTGTGCTTCTCTATAAAAATTGAGGATGGACATCACGTTCCGTGAATATGGAAAGAAAGATCAACGCTCGTATAACAAACGAATAAACAGAATAAGCTCGAATAACAACACACACATACAGCAATGGATATGGAAAAATATAAAGATTGAGATAAAACAAAGTGAACAAAGGGGGGCACCAACCACATTTGTCACACACTTTTTCCACGGAGAAAAAAAAAGAAAAAGAAAAAAATACACCATGTTTGCGGAGGGAAGGTGTAGATCTCCCATCAAGCGTAAATAACAAATATACACATTTGGAATATCAAGCATCGATAAACACAAACATTAGCGATAACGAAAACGAACGGCGTTGCGTCGTTCCTTCTTTTATCTTGTAAACACGTTCTATGCGACAATCGGAACCCATACATATCTTTTGGTGATAATGCGACGTAAACAATGAGCCTCGAGAGAATTTCTGACACAAATTATCGAGAAATTACTACTAACGTAAATTGTAATATAAAGTAGGAAGAACAGAATTTTATTAATAATTTTCAATTTTATTCGGACGCAATTATATATATATAGTGTACATATGTGGTTCGTAAAAAAAAAAAAAAATATCGTCGACTTACGTTCCCCCTTTACTCGGGTAACAACGATATTTTTTTCTGCTTGGTCTTCCATTGAATGCACGAAGAGATATGGCTTCAATAAGTCACGCAGACTGCTCGACGGATAAGGATCCGACAGTGCATTGCAAATCGCGAGCAACAAACATTTCCATAAGAAAATTTTTCTATGGATTTCTTAATAAATCTCTTCCTAAACGACCTTTGTTGTATTCGCTGGCTGGATTTAACAAGTCCTTAGTGCCGTTTTAGAGCTATTTAAAAATTTAAAAAGCGGCGGGAAATGTCGAGCAACGCAATAAAAGTAGATAAAGTAAAAACTATTATGCCTATTTATGCACGTGGTTTAATTGCAAAAAAAAAGTAATTAACTGAAACGGCTAAACTATTCTGAAATGAAAGTGAAAAACAAATTTTGTTACGTTATATTTTGCTGAAAATAATCAACACGGCAGAAAAAAAACTGCCCGACATAAGGTAAAAAAGATAATGTGAATGAAGTATCATTCGGGCAGTTACTTCTACGAAAAGTGATTTTTCGTCCGAGAAAACAGTAGCGGGCACGTATATTCGGAACTAAGAACGAAAATATATATTTGAAGATATCCCCCAGTGCTCGCAACACCAAGAACTTTCAAGCACAGACCCGCAGTGGGAGAAGCGAAGAAGCGGGCACACACGCGTAGTGACTGGCATACGTATGTTGTATATTCCTCTCGCGAGTGAGAGAGAGAAAGAGAACAATGACTTCAAAGACATCGCGCACGTTTTCTTCGCAACAAGTTTTACATTACACGACGTAGCAGCGGGAACGACGAGCAAAACAGCGCATTCTCGCTTAGCACGCAGATAAGAAGACTTTCCTAGAGCAAGGTGCACAGTTATTTCGTAAATAATTCGCACGGACATGCGCGAAAAGCGCCAAACAGTGTCGAATCACGAGTGAGATTTTCACGAACTACTAGTAATTACGTACAATATACAAGTACTCTTCATTTAAGCGTCCGTCGATACAGTAACCCCTACACCATTCCTTGAAATTGGGACTAATTGCACACTACCTTACCGACTTGTCGAAGGTCGGCGTGAAACATGACGCTTGCACAATACAAAGCAAGTGATACCTGATATCGATATTTTCTTGCTAATTCTTTGGAAACATATCTTTATTTAAGCGTCCAGATCGTGGATGCTTAGGTGGAGATTACTATAACGGTCCTGTGCACAACCACGCGAAGAAAGAGAAACGTGCCGCGTTGCTGGGAACGTTTCTTCTCTTTCAATTACGATCAGGGCACTAGTTTTTTTTTCAAATTGGCGAAACGAAAGAATCTGCCTAAGAAAACTTTCCTCGTTTTTAAAGTTCACAATCGATTACCGAACGAACGTGCAAGACAACAAACGGTAGGTCAGTTAACAGGCTATCTAAACCTAACCTAACCTAACCTAAAACGCGAATATTTAAAACTAAGTTCAGCCACTGATTCACGGTGAATAATACAAAAGGGAAACGCATGGAATTGCGTTGCACGAGAACGAATGATTCACACTTCCGAGCAAATCGCTGAACGACGATACAATAACCCAGCTGGGCGCGTTTTCGCCGTACGGATTTATATTTCACCGCGTAGTTAGCGACCTGCTCGCAGCGACGACATCCGACGAACTGAGATAACAGGGAATCTCAATCTCAAGTTTCAGCACTCGCAATTAGACCACGAAAGAAAAGGTATGTATTATCGAGTCGATGAGCTTCTTTTTCTCCCTTTCATCTTTGTTTTGTCTACAGATTTTTTTTTTATACACGTGCAAGTATATTGCAGCAGATTCGAGTGAGCGCGTAAGGACGTACATGCATATGTATATATTTACACGTGGTACGTACGGCTTTGATTATTGGTTCGTCAACTGCGAGTGAAATCAAACAAAAACAGCCTGAAAACACACTGTATGCATCGTCCTTAGCTTTGTTCTTACTTTGAACACATCAGACGCATCTCGTTGGGAAAATAAGCGCAGAGGAACGTGTATCCTTTTATCGAAATTCCGTGCAATTAGCGCAGAGATAGTGCCTCATTTTTTTTTTTTTTACGAGGAAATCTTCAGAAGACACCTGA